TCTTAGCTACAAATTATTTTTTCCCAATTAAGTAAAATATAAATGATTAAATAAAGAAAAGAAAACAGTTACATACATGTGTTCAAAATGATAACTATGCAAAAATCGTGCAATGTTACTTTGAAAGTTAAGTTTGCGTGTTTTTTTCAAATAGTGTAATTAAAATATTAAACACAGACACTTTCTGTTTACAATATGAAGACAAGAAGTATATTTAGTCTTTTCCAAAATAGAATACGCGACATTAACTCAAAATTTGAAACTTTTACACTCAATACACTTATTAAACTATTGACATATACTTTAAAAGTTGTATGAATATACTATTAGATTAGTGTTCGGCTATTCGTTATTTCTGGTGTCTTTGTATGGAATGTTTTAATGGATATATTCTTAAAGTTTTGTTTGAATCATATGACAGGTTCGGGTACCTGTCTGCTATACAACGATGAAAGGTGCAGGGTAAAATTCAATCGGTTTATACCGACTGAAATGTTTTCACTTGTTATTTTTCAAATATTTTTATGCACCACGAACATTTCTAATTTATTCGAAAATACCTAATATAAAAATATATTTCTTAACAAAAATAATAATATATTTACATACATATATGTGCATGCTGCATACATTCATAAGAGTGTGTGAATATAATATATTAAAGCTTGAAATGGTGTTTTTTTGTTCGGTACAAAGTTAAAGAAAGTTCTTTATTGTTTCAGCTAAGGCTTTTGCAGATAAACCTTTAACTAAAGTATTAAAAAAATAAAATAAACATTTTTGACAGGCCTTTCTGTCTCTCTGTGTGTACACGCATGTTTCCTGAGTTCGGTTCAATCGATTTCGATTAAATTTTATATGTGAGTTTGCGTTTCTTATGTCACAGACTGACCAACTTTTGAGATATATTAGGCCGTGGAAACTGGTCTTTTAAAGAGAAATAATGAACCAATTTCTTTGAAATTTAATATACAAATTTTCAGTGTTAAAACAATCAATCTAAAAATTTGTGGAAATGATCAGAGCTCGGAAAGCGATCTGGGGGCCTATTTTACATTTTTTAACATATATACAAAACGGATCAATAGAATTTTTTAAAATTTGATATTTGAGTTGATCCAGGCAGATGGAGGTGCGAAGTACCCGCAGTAGGAATGCTTCTGGTAAAAGTCCACTAAAATCCAGTACAAATCCAGAATCGTGTGATCCAGAATGGACGGCTGTCTGGTCTGCGACTGATCCCTGAGGGACGGCAGGAATCGGGCGTGCTGCCTTGCGCGAGATATTTAATGTCAAAGGCTAGAAGAAGTAAACTCCGAAATAAAACAAAAACAAATGCAATGAAAAATACCAAAGGATTTTATACCGCAGGTGGTAATCCAGTAAATCTGGAAAACCCACACTCTTCTCGGAGGCTTATCTCACGTATTCTGAGGGAGACCACTTATTGCACCAAACTACTACTACTACTGACCCTTTTAAAAAAACACCTCGTGTCATGCAGACACCACCATGTGATAAAAGCAAAGAAAATATGTTCAAAGGTGACAAACAGAAAAATACGAATATGGGAGCAGTAAATGAAAAAAAAATCAGAAATCTGATAACTGCCACTTAAATATAAGAATAAGTGAACTAGAAGTGCTTTGTAAGGATTTAAAAATGAAATCCAGCATCTCAGAGAGAAAAATAATAAGCTGAAATTGAAATTAAGAAATGTAAATGCAATAAAAGAAATAAACACGTTGCGACAAACAAAGTGGAATACCGCACAAACGAGGAGGATCTGGCTTCGAAAACCGATTGAATTTTCAAGAAAAAAGCAAGCGAAGAGCAGATATGTCACCTGAAATAAGTCCTGAGGACAAAGTAAGCAAAATAGAAAAATCTGTGCGGATAAATGCACTACAAGAAAGATCAAACCCCCTCCTTTACATTAATCAATGTTGAATATCTCATTAAAATAGAACAGATTAGAGGACAAGCATGGTAATGTTTATGTGTGTATGCTAAAAAGAATAAAAAATAATGGACGAAGATAAAATAAGAATTGCGATGAGGAATGTAAATGGCGTTCTTAATAAAAAGCGTATATTAGAAATATTTCTAAGAACCCAAAATGTTGATATATGTTTGGTAACAGAGATACATTTAAAACAGCAAACAGGTATAAAAATAAATGGTTACATGAATCAAAAGATATTGCGCTATTTTGATAAGGAATAATATAAAACATAATGACATAAGTAAAGTAGAAAGAGACGATAGCCAATTTGTTGCTGTACGAATAAATTCTTACAAACAAAATTTCGATTTTGGTGTACTTTACTGTCCTGGACATTTCTGGACATGTTATAAAGAGTGGTTCATTCAAAGATCTCCTGAATCTCCTTAAAGAAAGGTTTATTCTGGAAGATGATTATAATGCCAAACATATTGATTGGGGTTCTAGATTAGATATCTCTTTAATAGCTTTTCTCTAATAGAGAAAAGAGATTGTCAAGAAAATCTCGCCAAATTTCATTAGAAGATAACCATGATTTGGATTCGGATCATTCTGCAGTTATATTAAACTTAACTGAGACAGTTACCAAGAAACAAAATAAGCCCATGTTGATTAATAAATCCACTGACTGGACTAATTTTATACAGGAAATAGGGAATAAAATAAACTTAAGAATTAAAGTACGAGCCCAGGGTGATTTGGATTCTGAGGTGAAGAATTTTAACAAAATCATACAAAGCGCTGCCTGGAATAATACTATGACAAAACAATGTGAGTATAAATCCGTGGGTATGGCTTACCCAAGAGAGATACTGAAAATGATAAGCGAAAAGAGAAGAACTAGACGCAGATGGCGAAGCTCACGAGATCCGGAGAATAAAACTGCACTCATTCTCTCAGAAACTAAAAAGAAAAATCAAAAAAGATTCATTTGCAAAAAATATTAAAAAGCCAATTTTATATGTCCTCCTATTAGGGGAACGGATGATAATAAATTGTGCAATATAAAATAAGGATAATGCTAAAATATTTCAAATTTTTAGGCCAAATGACATACTTTCAAACAGAAATATTGCAATGGGAAATATGAGAGCAGAAAACATTATCACCCCATTTGCACAAAGAGAAATAGAGGAAATAAAAAGTTCAAAATCAAGAAAAGCACCGGGTTACGATTTAATTTCCTCTGAGATACTGAAGCAATTACCAAAAAAAGGGTATAGCAATGTTGACTTTTTTAGTGAATTCTGCATTAAGGTTAAAATATGTGCCTAATGCTTGGGAGGCGGCAGAAGTTATAATGATACCAAAACTTGGTAAGCCTTTAAATGAGACCAAGTCTTATACATCAATTTCTCTGCTACCAATTTTGTCGAAACTTTTTGAAAAGTTATTACTGAAAAGAATGGGACCTAAAATTGAGCAAAAGTTATTAATTCCGAACCACCAATTTGGGTTTAGAGCAAGACATTCAACTACTGATGAAATCATAGAGCAAGCCCTAGAGGAAAAGCAAATTTGCGCAACAATTTTTGTAGCCGTTGTAACAAGGTTTGGCACGAAGGATTAATGTATAAGTTAGAAAAAATATTACCAAAGCAATATGTAAATATTCTCTCTTCTTATTTAATCGACAGATTATTTAGAACCAAACAGGAGGGGGACTATTCCACACTTAGAGAAATAAGAGCAGGTGTGCCTCAAGGCAGTATTTTGGGTCCAATACTATATCTACTCTTTTCTAAGAGATGTGCCTCAAATAGAAAATATAATTGTGGCTACATATGCTGACGATACTACAATTATGGCAGTAGCATCAAATATGTTGTTGACGCCACAAGAAAGTTGCAGCAAGCAAGCAAGAGTTTTGATGCTTGGACCAAGAAATGGAAAATAAAAGTAAATGAAACTAAGTTTGCACAAGTAAATTTTATAACTAAAGCTCTTGTAAATCCCCCACGTGTTAATTTAAATAGGTTAAATGTTGCGCAGGAGAATGCGACAAAATATCTTGGAATGACACTGGATGTTAAGCTAAAACGGAAGAAATATGTTAAAAAAAGACAGAATTAGAATTAAAATATAAAAAAATTATTCTGTATTGGCTCCTTGGTTGCAAGCCAAGGTTGCCGATACAGAATAAAATCCTGCTCTATAACCAAATTATTAAACCAGTTTGGTTGTATGGTATCCAGTTGTGGGGATGTGCCAAACAAATACATGTCCAGCGAATGCAAACGTTCCAGAACAGGGTTTTTCGGAATATTATGGACGCTCCTTGGTATGTTTGAAATGGAGATTTGCACACAGATCTAAATATTCCATGTGTAGTTGACGAAATTAACGAAAGAGCGGTGAGACATAGAGCTCGCCTGGAGCAACATGTCAACATAAAGGCCTCTCGGCTCCTTGTTATCCGGGATTCTCCCAGGAGGCTAAAGAGACCTTTGTCTTGTGATTTAGCGCAAAATGCGCTTCACCAAATCGGGGAGCGTTGAATCTCTTTCAATCTATATTAAAGAAAATTTAATGGTTGGTCTAAGGAGACTTGTATCAGAACATAAGGAGAAGGTTTTTGTGGTAAAACACATAACTAACTATGGGTTGCCAGGGAATGGCATGTTGGTAGCACTCATGCTTTCCTCCTTACTTTGATGAAAAAAAAATATTTGAGTTTTGGTTGTTACCTACTAAGAGCTCACTCTACAAATTTAGATTTTTCTAGATATGTTAGCTAAAAGCTTACTAATGCCCTAAAAATCGGAAAGAAGTGTTCAAAAGGCATTTTTATAATATTCTGTAACACTTTCACTTAACTAAACAATACACATTACGTCGGTTATCTACTGACCACATCAGATTTTTTTTTCAAATTGAATTAATTTCAAACTTAACTAGAGGCTTATTATTTATTAAAATTTAGCTGATTTAATTTTTGTCTCTTTTAAACCTTATAAAAAAAATAATTAATTTAATGTATTATATTATTACTTACGGTTTGATTTCTGTACACCTGACTAAAATGTTAGAAAAATGGTATTTTAAACTTTTTACATTGTGTTTCCACATTCTGAAAAGAAAATCGAAAATTTTAATATAGATATTTCTTAATTATGCTAAATTATTAAACAGTTGTGTGAATAATTACTTATTTTAGAAATATTAACAATGGTTTTTTTTATTTACTTGATTTGAAATATGTTTCTTATGAGCTTTTTTATAACAAAATCTCGTGAGTGTTAAATTTTATACAAAGTGTTCTGTATCAAATTAAAATTTTATATGAGAAAGAGTTGTTTTATAATAATGTCTATAGGTAATACTTTGTTGACTGTTAAAAACTTCGGAAATATATCTGACCTTAGAATATATCTAAATATATCTGATCTGAGCTAGATCTGAAATAATCGGACACAGGACTGCCGAGTTTGATGAATCTAGCTTTGTTATTTTTCCAGATATCTAAAATTAACTTTCGGAGTTGTATGGCAGCTACCCAAACCTGTCTAGAAATTCCACCAAAACTTTAGAAATGTTTCTGACCTGAAATCAGGCACACGTCTGTCGAGTTTGATGAATCTAGCTTTATCTTTCCAAATATTTAAAATTAACTTTAGAAGTTGTATGGCTGCTAACCGGAAATGGTCAAGCAATTCCACCAAAGCTTCAAAAATATACCTGACCTGAAATTGAACACACAACTTCCGATTTTCAGGAATCTAGCTTTAATATATTTCCAAATATTTAAAATAAACTTTCGGAGTTGTATGGCAGCTACCCAAACTGGTCAAGCAATTTCATCAAAACTTCACGATTATATCTGACCTAGAATTGGACACATGCTTGCCAAGTTTCATGAATCTCTATTATTTTTCAAATATTTAAAAACCCTTTTTGAGCTGTATGGCAGCTACCCGAACCCGTTGTCCGAATTGGTCCAATTACAACAGCAGCCGTCGCTGGCACAATATTTATACTTTTTGGTATTACATGTTTTGCGACTAACTGAATATATCCCCTAGTTCCTATGTAATAATTAAGTATATATATATAATTTTTATACCCCTAATAACGAGTATAAAAACATTTAGTTTTTACGAAAATTTTTGAAATATGAATACAAATACCTTCTTTCAGTGAAATTCCTTCCTAGCTTTAATTGTAAACGAACACAAATTAGATTTTTTAAGTGACCTTGTGCAAATGCTGAAGTCAAACGCTATGTTCTCAACAATACTCTGCAATTGTATTGTAATTATAAGCAATACAGACCAAGCCGGAGGGTATAACACAAATGGGTTACTACTCATAAAACAAATTACACTCCGCGTCATCAGACTAAACCAAAGATTTTTAAAACAAAGATGTACCAACAAGATAAATTACTGCTTAAAAATCAATTCTGGGATACCACATTGGCCGAACATGAGTATGAGACTTATTATAGTTGTCGAACTAGAGCGACAATTGTCGTTACGACTTGAATTTGATATTCTAAGCGGCGACCGTAGTGACAATCGTCAGGGAATAGCGGGAAAATGTATTTCAGCCATATTCCAGTCGTTCTGATGCAAAATATGTCGTAGTGAAACGACGTTTTTTGTCGAAAAGTATTTACAAATGACAAGAAAGGGGGATACACCAAAAATGCAAGTTAAAACAAAACAATTTAACAAAATCATAAAAAAATTAATTTTATACATAAATCAAGTCAAAAAATATATAATTTAATTTTTATTTTTAGCGTGAAAGTATTTATAAATTTGAAGAATTGGAAATTTCATGACAGAGAAAGCCTTTTACGGGTACTCGTTTTTCCCTCGAATATATTCAGTAAATACACAAAGGCCTCCTTTGGAAGTCTGTACTAGTTTATAAATCTGTGAATAAAATAAAATGTTTGCAACTAATTTACTAGAAAAAATTTGGCAAATCCAATGGATTAGAGCTGTCGCTAATCTTAAATCTTTCAAACCTTAATTGTTATTTTTTTTTAAATTTCATCACTACCGGAATGAGATGAATTCGTTAGCCATAATGCAAATGACATTTTTTATTATTTAAAAAAAAAAATTTACACTTGTATATATCGGCATTATGAACATACCAAGAGGCGTTTACAATGTCCCGTAATACTTTATTTTGAAATCTTTGAATAGATTGATTATGAGTCTGTGCAGCGCAGCCCCATAATTGAATGCCGTAAGCCCATACAGGCTTTAATATTTAATTATATATCAAAACTTTTTATATATCATAAAAGCCATTTAAACTTCCTGTATTCTTCCTCGAGTTGAGCTCTCTTTTTCTCCTTCCATCTGAGCTTTGCGTCCAATGTCATTCCCAAGTACTTCGCCGTGTTTGCGAACGGAATCAAGACGCCATTTATCCGACCCGGAAATGAATTGTCAATTTTTCTATTAGTGAAATTCACATGTACTGATTTCATCTCGTTAAGTTTATTATTCCACTTCCTAGTCCATTTTGAGATCTACTCACTGGCCTTCTGTAATTTTTGTGTAGATTCATTTTCATTTCGTCCCATTTCCATAACTGCTGTATCATCAGCAAATGTGGCCGTTGTCGCTCCTTCCGACTCAAGAATGTTACACATGTATAACAAGTATAATATCGGGCCCAATATACTCCCCTGTAGTACCCCCGACCTGATATCCCTAAGCAAAGAGTATTCCTCTTCCTGTTTAACTTGAAATACCCTGTTAGTCAGGTAAGATTCGAGCACCTTAACATACTGTCCTTGTAGTAATTGTCTAAGTTTTTCTATTAATCCACAATACCACACCTTATCAAAAGCCTGGGCTACGTCCAAAAATATGACAGAACATATTGATTTTTCTTCCAGGGAATTTTGTATTAGGTCAGTTATTCGATGAAAACCAAATTAATGATTCGGGACTAACTTTTTACTTTCAATTATTGGCTGAAACCTTGCCAATAAAAGTTTCTCTAGCAGTTTTGAAATTATCACCTCGTCTATAGGTTTTTCAGGCATAATTATACACACATTTATTAGACGCGTAAGCATCGTTATACCCCTTATGGTTTTCAGCAGATTCCTCATTTTCATGCAAGCCTTGGTTGTCATGCGGACAGAATATATCGGCCAAATGATCCGCAAACGCATTTGCTTTGTCTTTGTCAGTTTTTGCCCACGTTCAATCTTTGTTTTTAATAGGAGCAAGATGTTTGATAGGTTGCTTCATTTTCTTTGTTACCCTCCACAGTGAGTACTTGGTTTCCTCACACGCCGTCAAATTTTGAACATAATTGGCAACCGAATCCTCCTTGCATTTTCTAATACAATGTCTTAATTTCTGCGATTCAAGATTATATCTAGCCTTATCAGAAAGATCACGCGTTTGCTGCCATATCTCTCTCGCCCCCTGCTTTGCCATACTTTTCATAATATGTGTGGAGGATAGTTAATACTAACCCTTCTAATAGCATTAATTTTCAAACTACTCCATGCCGCCTTTTGAATAATTTTAGTAAAATTTTCGGCCTCCTCATCTATCTGCTGGGCTGGGGTGATTAGAGCTGTAAATTATATAACCCTGAAACTGAATCCTGCTTCTTAAAGTCATATGTGTTTCTCTTACAAGGCACACGTCTATATTCAGTGTATGTACAAAAACTTCAAACATGTCGTTTTTGTATGCGATACCATTGCAATTCCATGCCGCTATTTTACAATTACTACATGCCATCATTTACCAGGTGTTTTTTTATTCGATTATTTTCCTTCGCTCTCCAAAATGCTCAACCTCTGAGAGATTTTGTCAATCATATCTAGCATGCTCTGCATCATATTTTGCATTTAATACAAAACCCTCACGTCCTTAGATGTTACATCTTTAGACACTATTCTCGAACTGAATTGCCTCGGTGGCCGGTCAGAATTCTTCTTCAAATTGTGTTATTGTTATTCCTACGTTTCTGCAGTTCCTTAGCTGCAAGGCATCCCATATAGCTTGCTGGGTGGGCCTCCAAAGAATTGAAGCACTTTGCTGTAATACTGCTTAGCTTACTACAATCGGCGGTTAAGTGCCTGCCTGCACATTTAACACAATTCGGTTCTCTCTGGCAAAATTTTTGTGTATGCTCATACCTTTGACACCTTTTACATTGCGGAATGGTTCTGTCCTTTCAAGGTGCCTCTATCCTAACTTTCATCCTGTTTAAGTGATTAATTTCATTATTTTTTTCATCTCCTCGTCATTTGAGAATGTTAACATAAACAGCGGTAGAGGTACCATAATATTTTTCCCGTTCACTTTTATTTTTTTAATTTTGTTGGCTACATAAGATATTTTTATTCTTTTCTAAAATCCGTACATCAGGTGTAATTGGTGAACGCCGAGTTTTCGCGTTCCTCCTGAACAGATCAATAAAATGCAATAAATCGCTCTCCCCCAGAATCTGTAGAGCCGTACGAAGGGGGTGGATTCTTCAACGTAGTTAGAGAATCCACGTATTTAGTACCCACCTGGGGTACTAAAGCCTTTTGTTTTCTCCATTGCACAAGTGATTAATGTTTGCATTTTATACTCCCTGCCAGGATTCAAAACTGCCGTCACTCAGTTTACTGGATTTACCGCCCGCGCACTTCCTAACCAACGAAACCCGGATTAAGCGCCGAGTACTCGCTTCACCCGCTCTCATCAGCCTTACTAAGTAAGTTTCCCAGGAGACACCCGACAGATAATCATGATACCTACTTTCTGGGAGGTGAGAGTCGGATTTGTTGGCAGAGCTGATGTTTCCAGGGGGCCTTTCCTAGCATTTGCAGCTTCGTATGTTAGAAATATGTGAAACCGACTAGAACCCATGCCAACCTTTATCTCCCTATTTTTTTTATTTTGCTTCGGTTTGTTTTGCATTTTTTGTGTGTATAGAACAAATAAAGAGACTATAGTATTTCTTTAATCCATACATAAGTTTCTTACGTGAAGACTTCGTCGCTTAATGGTAAAATAATTTATTTGTTGTTTAAAATTTAATTTTAATTTAAATTTAGTGAATAATTATACTATTCACTAAATTTATATT